TCAGAACAACACCAAATTAAGTTTGCATAGGTTTCAGGAGGTGGGCTAATGATTGCAAGCATTAATCTGTTCCAATTGGAACGGATTAACCGGTTTTCAATGCATTCCTATGGGAAATGGTGTTTCACTTAACGATGTTTTCACATTTTTTTTATGGAACCAATTAACATCGTTAAGCGAGGCACCACTGTATGTATGTATGTATGTATGTATGTATGTATGTATGTATTTATTTATTTATTTATTTATTTATTTGATTTATACCCCGCCCATCTGGCCTAAAAGGCCACTCTAGGCAGCTATATTGGTTAGTAAAACTCCAGAACATTCTGGGAGTTGAAATAAAAAAGAACACTAAACACTTTCCCATCTCTTATGTTCTCTTTTCTCGTAGTATCCATTCCTACAAGCCTGAGGCACCAGGGCTCAGAGAAAGATCTCTTTGGCTAGTGACCCTGGGAATAAAAAGGGACACATATGCTTATGGATGATATAAACGTTTTCTGAGTGACTTATTTAGAGGTGATCTGGAGAAATCATTGGATTAGACTTCTGCGAAGTGTGTACTCTGCTTAAATAAAGAAGCTTGACTTCGAAGGAGTAACTTTGCGTTTTGGTGCTCAGGTCCTACCACTGTCTCACCCTGAGACAAGTCACTTTCCTTTTGGCCTCAACACTTTGCCTTCTCTAAAATGGATCTCCAGTTACAATAGTAATAACCGTGATTAGCCATCCCATCGCATTCCCACCAGTCATTTCCTCTCTCTTCATCTCCACTTTCAATGGTGCCCCTAGCAGTATCTTAATATTCCAAATATGCCCATGGACCCACAAAAGATGATTCTGTTTTAAGGTTTACTCACCTGCTACATTATCTTTCTTGGCTCTGATTTTGACCTGAGCTTTGTTTACATTCTGAATCACAGTAGTACTGCAGAAATGAGAGAAGTTTCATTTTGCAATATTATACATGGTGCATTTTCTAAAAGATGCACAGAAACAATTGCCAATCAGTTGACTTAGTTTTTTGGTGTCAGCACATTAACACTAATAGTTTGCAATACACTGTTTCTAAACACTGTTCCATGATTAAAATTCTACTTAAGTCTGCTCAGATGTTACTCCCACTGATAGGGCTGCTCTTCTGGAAAAATGTATAAATCATAATAGTTTGGCATCCTACGAAATATGAAACAATTAGAAATGCCACTTTTGTCAAAAATTAAAATACACCAATAGGACAAGCTGTTTCAGCAGTAAGCTCATCAGTAAGTGTGGTAAAATGATTTAGACCTGAAAAATAGACTAACGTGTCTAGAAGTGCACAACTTTTCTGCTGTTTTTCTGTAGCCAGAGTTTTGCTTATTTGTGGTGGTAATGTGGCAAGCTGTTGCTTTAATAACATTCAAAGCTGTCACCAAACCAACCCATGTAATAAAATTAAAAAACACCTGCCAACTGTCTCTTAAGCTAGTGGATAGTTTTGCCAGACTCTTGTTTTACCACCTCCTTCAGTGCTTTAACAGGGACGTGGTGGCGCTATGGGCTAAACCGCAGAAGCCTGTGCTGCAGGCTCAGAAGACCAAGCAGTCGTAAAATCGAATCCACATGATGGAGTGAGCGCCTGTCGGTTGCCCCAGCTCCCGCCAACCTAGCGGTTCGAAAGCATACAAATGCGAGTAGATCAATAGGGACCACCTCGGTGGGAAGGTAACAGCATTCCGTGTCTAAGTCGCACTGGCCATGTGACCACGGAAGATTGTCTTCAGACAAAACGCTGGCTCTATGGCTTGAAAACGGGGATGAGCACCACCCCCTAGAGTCGAACATGACTGGACAAAAATTGTCAAGGGGAACCTTTACCTTTACCTCAGTGCTTTACCTCTCTCCCTGTTTACCTTTCAAGGGAACCTGGACTTTCCCTCTTTTTCTTACAGGACCTCTTACAGAATTTTCCTTTTTTTCCCCCACAAAAAGAAGGTGGGCCAATAGCTCTTTGCCAGGAAAAAGAAGCCAGATGTGCCCCTCCAAACACAGTTGTGCACTTTACCTGAAGTCTCCAGCTGTGAACTTGGCCTCAGCAAGTGAAAAAGCAGCTTCTCTCATCACCTCACCCATCAACATTTTTGTCTGAGAAAAAAAAGGGGGAGAAAAAGTTCAGTTCCTGAAGGCTACACCTGCTAAAACGTATTCAAGGTGGTTTGAGATTTTTCTTTAATTGAAGAGCAACAGTTGATGTGCTATAAAATTAACCTAAAGAACTACTACTAATTAAGCCTTTTAAAAGTCATTAAAAAGCAAACACATTAGAGCCCCTTACCTCAATAATTTTCTTCAGAATCTGTCGGAATCGCAAAGTCAGAGCATCAGATTTTTTCTTTAAAAGGTTGCGGCCTGTCTGGGCTCCTTTCAAACGAGCCTTCATGATGGTCTGCGCCCTACCAAAATCAGAATGGAATAAACACTACTCAGTCTTATTACTTGGGATACAGACAGAAATAACCATACGTGCTTCGCAGTCTGTAGAAGAAAACACACACAGCATAATTCTATGCGTGATTAAGCAAAGGTAAACTCCATTGTGTTCAATAAAGTGTCATTTTGTATAAGCATTTATCAAGCACATTTACAAGACAGTAAGCTCTGTACTAAGTAATCAAGGATGACAACCAGTTTTATGGGAAGGCTCCTAACAATTCAGAAATGATGACAGAAGAAAATCAGAACCAGTTTACTTAACTAAATACATTTCTAATAAAATCATAGATTGTTAACATTATCAACCTTCCCTACTACCATGCAAAACAAAGAGATAAAAGCTATATCATAAACTATATTTTCTAACTTGGAGATGCCAGTTAGGAAATCTATTTACCTAGTAAAATCTGAATATAGCTTGGGTACCATGACAAAAAGGGCCTTTTTTGAAGCTCACATATACTATGTTTCCCTGAAAATAAGACAGGGTCTTATATTATTTTTTGCCCCAAAAACACATTAGGGCTTAATTTCAAAAGATGTTTTATATTCTTCATGTACAACAATCTACATTTATTTAAATACAGTCATGTCATCTTCTTCCGGCTGCTGCACAAAGGTGGAGGGTGGGGTTTCACTTAACTCGGGCTTATTTTTTGGGCAGGGTTTATATTATGAGCACCCTGAAAAAATCATACTAGGGCTTACTTTCAGGTTAGATCTTATTTTCAGGGAAACTGGGTATTAAGCATACACCACACCTCTACTACCAATCTTTTTCTGTCACAATGGAGAAGCAATATTGTTTTCCATGCCTTGCAACCAAACATTACTGGCTCCATCCCTCATTTCATAGTGAGTTAATGTAGATGCCACATCTGAATGAATGCTCTGAAACCAATCACTTATACATTTGTCCCACATGATTTATGCTTATTAAGTAGTTGCTGTGTCCATCCATAACTCCACATGATGGCTGTGATTCCCAAAGCACATTTATTTTATTTATTTATTCACAATATTTTTACCGTGCTTTTCTCCTTAAAAGGACCCAAGGTAGCTTACATCATTAAAAGGCAATACAAAAGCTAGCAACAGTGAGTTTACACATCTGTACTAAAAAAGATCAAACAAATACTATAAAAAAACATAATCAGCACCAAAACACATTCAAAGCAGTAAGGTAAGACAATCCATTTAAAAAAACCACTTCACCAGCCAGATTAAAGGAAAGGCTTGTGTGAAGAGAATAGTCTTCATCTGCATGCCAAAGAACAGAAAAGATGTGGCTAGCCTGGTCTCTTGTGGGAGGGAGTTCCAAAGTCTGGGAGCAGCAACAGAGAAGGCCCTCTGCCAAATCCCCACCAACCATGCCTGTGAAGGGGCAAGACTGAGAGAAAGGCCTCTCTGGATGATCTTAGCACTCGAGCTGGATCTAGAGAGATGCAGCCCTTGAGATAGCCTGGGCCCAAGCCATTCAGGGCTTTATATCAGTGGTCCCCAACCTTTTCCCAACCGCATACTGGTTGGGCGGCGTGGCCCGCTTGCACGCATGCACAGGGGGTGGCACGCTCATGTGCATTCACGGGGCACCCTCATGGGGGGCAGGAGATCTGTGTCCGTGGCCTGATCCTGCCTAGGCCATAGACCAGTGCTGGGTCGCAAACTGGGGGTTAAAAACCCGTTTTATATGTTAGAACCAACACCTTGAATTCAGTCTGGAAATGGATAAGCAGCCAGTGGAGCTAGTGTAACAGGGTGGGGGTGGGGTGTGTGATAACTAGACAAACTTTAACTGCACCAAAAATACTAAGCATGGAGCTATCATATCAACGTCCTCATGTTAACATGCAACACAGAAAAGTCTTCAGATAAAAAACACCTTAAGAAACCGGAATCTTTTAAATGGAGAAAGTGCTGTAATATTCACATTCCTGCAGTATCTGGCTTGTGCCACTGCCTCCCTATCTCAGCCTAACTCATTTACTAGTTGAAGCAAGATTCAGCAAAATTGTGTGTGTTCATTTAAACAAGGCTCTGTTTACTATCAAGAATGTCATGGCAGATTCAGAGAAAACACTGTAGATGACTCTGCTTTGCACACCTCTTATGAAATCTATACTTATAGCTAAGCTTACTTCTGAGCATAAAGAAAACTATTTTACCTATTTTGCAGAAGCATGCATGAATTTACATTTTCTCCTTCTCAAGACACCAAGAACAAAGTCAATTTTTAAAACTCTAATCCTGTGTATCACACCTCTCTATCTTTCTACTTGTCAAAGAAATAACGTTTTAAGGGCACGTTAACAATTCCTATTAGAGATTATTTTAAAAAGTAGGAAGACAATCACCTTATCATCATCTGCAATCTTCTAATTAAGTCCTTTACTATTAATAACATCATGTGACGTTTGGTGGGCAGATAATCAACAAAGGTATTGTACCATAAAAAACACTTGGGGTCAAGGTCTCAGTGCAGGAACAGAAGCACTACCAAAATTGCAGAGGCAGTGGTTAAATAACAGATTGCTGCTTTGCACACATAGAAGGTTCCATGTTCTGTATCTACCATCAGGTGCTAGAGTGGAGAAAACTGTTGTCCAAAATACCAGACGGATCTACATCAACTGTATATGTGTTTCTGTGCCATCAACTGATTTATAGTGATCCTCCGAGGTCTTTCAAGATAAGTGACATATTTAATAAGTGGCTTTACCAGTTCCATTTGCCCAGTCATTTTCCATGGCTAAGGAGGGCTTCCAAGCCCTAGTCTTTTGCTATGTCCACTACTCACCACACTAGGAATCTACATCAATTAGGTAAGCTTAAATATTTTGGATTATAACTCCCTATCATTCCTGGGCATTGTTCACTGGAACTATAGTTCAAACAATTTGCAGAGGACCACAATACAGAAGACTGTCCTAACGAGCCACAACCAGCCAGTGTCAACAATCCTGAGCTAGATGAATCAACAATCTGACCCAGTATAAACCAGCTTCTCACATATATTACAATAAAGCCAAGTCCAATATAAATAAATTAGATCATCACCTACATCTTTGGCTTTATATCTCCTAATTCTTGTGGACAATATTATCAAATAATATCACTGGATGGACATGCAATAAGCGTGTATATGCACAACCAAAGGATCAGATTTAAGAGGAGAACCATATCTCATCAAAACAAGCTTCCTGTTACTTTGATTCAACTTTCCCCATCATTATTTTCAGCAAGGGATAAATTAATCCTTTGACTCTGAGAGTTTCAAGATTCTACATAATGAAGAACATCTAAACCAATAAAATCAACATGCCTATGCACAAATATTTCTGCATGGTTGCAATCCAATACAGACACAACTGGAGAAAGTTCCACTAAAACCAGTAAGACTGACTTCTAGGTAGATTAGTTCATAATCTTGAACTAAATGAAAGTAAGAACTACAAAGGGAAATGCCAGAAGTACAAGTGTGCCATACTATGAAAACAAACATAACCCATATTTAAATTAATGTTCCAACTACCACATTAGGACATACTCCAAGTATTCAGATAGCATGACAATCATATTCCATAACTGTCAAAAACATATGACTACATGACAAAGCCAGGGCTGTTTTGACCTGGAAATAACTTGATTTTCACTTCCCTATTTTCTTAACCTACAGATCGCGGTTGAAGGGGGGGAGAGAGTCTCAAATAATAATTAACAATACTTCCATATCTCATTAACCTCACAACTCTTGAGAGTTAAGTCAGGATAGTCGCAATAAGGCAGGTGTCAAGCAGGAAACGAAAGGTTTGACCAAGGTCGTCCGGTCAGCCAGCGGCTACAATGCAAACTGAACAAGACACTTGGTCGTGTAGGAGCGAGCTACGAAAGGGTGTCAGGGGGGTAACTAATCCGTGGCAAGCAAACTGCAAGCAAATTTGCAAGCAAACTGCCCTGCAAGCTCAGTCGCAAGACTCAAGACAGTCCGCAGGGGCTACCTGGCCCACCATCAGCCAGAACCGCTTCCAAAGGGAAGAGGCCGAAGGGAACCAGAAGGCATGCACGACTCACATCCGTGAAGGGAAGATCTCGATTCTGTCCTTGCCCGACATCCTGGCTGGAGCAGTAGAGGAAGATCACCAGAGAAGAGCCGCTCGCTTTTTCCCTGAGAAGGAGCCCGGGCACCTCGCTCCGTCACGTGACTCCTCCTGGCGATCCCGGCCAGTACTGTGCTCTCTCCTGTTCCGTTTCCCGCACATCAGCTGGAGGGAGGGCGGGGCCGTTCGCGCCCGAGACGGTCAGTGAGTCACAATGCCCAGAGCGGCGGAAGTCACAGATCTGCATCCGTCAAACAGCAAGAGCTCTTAACAGGCTAAAGTTACAACCGTTTATAATTAAAAGATAGGAAGCAGTGAGAAAAATCACAGCTCCGTATATAAAGCACAAATAAAGAAATGTTGCGACAAAGATAAGATGGTCCCTGAAGATTGATTTAAATGTGAGGTTTTATGGATTTCAATCCTCTTCTTTGAGATATGTCTGTTGAATTTTAGATTCTCAATGGGATTCCTCAAGTATCTCTGCGAATACAGCATTCTGCCTACACAACCTTACTTTTGTAACGCTAAGCCTGCTGAAGACTCGTGCGGAGTCGAAAACTAGCTTGTGTTTATGATTCTTTCAGCGGGTTAATGACTATTTCTCTCTCCTTTGTCTTCCGATCGTGTACAAGGACCACAATCCTTTCATCTTGTACACAAGATGAAGCGACTATAGCGTTTCATCTTTTTTCATCTAATTGTAAGTGAATTGTAATCAAAGATAGCTCATGTTGAAAGAAATCCTAATGGAACACTTAAGTTTTTCATCTTCTGCTTTTGTGACATAAAACCTCTTGTATTTTTTCTTTACATTTCTGCTTCAAGACAATAAATCCAAAGGCAAGGGAGTGTAGATTTTATTTTATTTTGTACAGATAAAATGGATAGAAATGGTATCTTGGGAGTGTTGTTTGAATCGGCAAGCTCCATTTTGCTTTGTCATGGTACAGTATGAATAAAGACAAAGTTTTGCAACCTCTTTATTTCTTTGTTTATTTAGTCATCTGTTTATTTCTTTAAAATATTTCTACCCTGCCTTTCTCCTTAAGAAGGATCCATGGCAGCTTACATCATTTAAAGCAAAAATCAAGAAATACACAAATACTAAAAAAAGGATCAAATACCATAGTAAAAAAATGGTAAAGAGAAGCAACATCAAAATGCATTCAAAGCAGTAAGGCACAAGAATCCTTTTAAGAACCCCACTCAGGCAGCCAGAAATGAAGGTAAAGCTTGCTTGAAGAAAAAGGTCTGCCTGTTCGTGGAAGGAGAGTAAGGATTTTTAAACTAAAAATTTTTGTTTAAAACTAACAAGTTTTATTTAGCAGGTGCTTTTGCCAACTGTAACCTGCTTCTTTAGATGCAAAATTGATAGCTGCAATTAATGAAAGGCTATATCAGATAAAAATGGTTTGTTGTGTATTAGACTTGTTTTTGCTACAGAAATCTGACATTGCTCCTGCAGCCTAGAAATAAATAACGAACAAAGTGTTGGATTTAGGTTTGAAACAGCTGAGAGCAAGCTCTATGCAGGTATTTTTTGCTTTATGTTTTTGTGTTTTTTTATTTTGTTTATTATTATTGTTATTGTTATTGTTGTTGTTGTTGTTGTTGTTGTTGTTGTTA